CAACCCAGCAGTGAAGTGATATTACAATATTGAATATCACTCACACAAAATCACAGTGCAAAGACTTGATCGTTGTGTTTTTGGGAGAGAGTCAGTGTATGGCAAAACACTGCTCGTACTGGCTACTCGTCTTACACTTAATGACTAATTTATTTAAGCTCGCATTTCTTGGATGACGTGACTCTTGAATGTTACTTCATCCAATGATGTAACATTATTTACAAGTCAAATTACAAAGTCAATCCGCGCAGCTCATTAGTCAAGATCATATACAGATCTATTGAGGGCTTACTAATTTCATAACTCCAAAACTCGCCAACCAAATTTCCATTCTCAACTAGGCTACATAGAGCGCTATGCTTGGAATTCTCCATCTTATAGAGTTCTGAAAACTCTATTCACGTCACCTTTACTAATAAAACTTTATGTGACTTAGTTACACTACCACAAAGCTGCTTACCTATATGCACATGACCCGGAGGGTTTGCATGACCGTATACAATAATGCGCCACATGACCCTTTGTGTTTACAAGACAACATACAATAATGCGCTATAGAACCCTAGGTCTTAACTTCGTAATCTTATGAGAAGTAAAATAAAGATAAGCTGCTTAACGGTTACAGATCGCCCATTGATGGCTCTCCGCTAACCTCTTACTCAAAATGGAGTGTAAAATCTGATATGGAGGGCACTTAGTTAGGGATATAGGCAACAAACTAGTGCAATTTCCAATTGGGAAACATTTTGCGCCATTATCCACCTAACATTAACAATATTTAATTCCTTATCTCTACTACACCATTGTGTTGTTGAGTACTAGGAATAATCAATTTTTTAAGCATCCATCTCTCTTCACAGAGTTTTCTAAAAAAATAACTCAAATAGATACTCGCCACCTTGGTCAAAACTAAAAGCATGAAAGCTGTTATCTAATTGATGTCGACCTAATATGTGCAATGTCAAAAATCATCTCAAAACTTTTGACTTATGGGAGATCAAATAGTCTTGACTCAGATGCGTATCGTAATCTATAAATGTGTCGAGATTGTGGCTTAGCTATCATACCCTCACACATATCTAGTCACAAAGATCATAGTGGACTAAATGCGCCAATACAAATGACCTTCTACGGCTTTCCTACTTACTTGTGCGCACCCATTGCGAACAAAGTTACACATTCACATGAGAGCAGGATGTCATAAGCGAGTAGGCCCGAGAAGAACTACTCAAACCATCGTGTCATCATCTCATTAATGTGATTAAGTATAATAAGCCACTGGTTCATGACCAATGCCATAAACTAATTCCAATCATCTTAATGTGTGAGTTCTCGAAGACAAGTTTTAAAGATTTAGG